TTAAGGTCAGGAACCATCAAACTGCTGCTGGAGGTTAAAGGTCAGGAGCCATCAAACCGCAGCTGGAGGTTAAAGGTCAAGAACCACCAAACTGCTGCTGGAAGTTAAAGGTCAGGAACAATCAAACAGCTGATGGAGTTTAAAGGGCAGGAACCATCAAACTGCTGCTGGGTGGGGGTAAAGGTCAGTTATCAGTCAGAGTGCAGGATGTTTGTGTTGAGCTGAGAAAGACTCTGGGTTCCTCCTCACCGATCAGACTCCTGTAGTCCCTCAGTCTGGAGTTCCTCCTCTCCTGCTCCTCACTCACTGACTTCCACTGCAGCTTCATCCTGAAGTATTCATCTCTGTGGGGATAAATAACACGGTCACCATGGCAACCGTCCCACGACATCTAATTATATCATTTGGATCATCAACAGGTGTTCATCGTCGATTGTGTGTGTGTGGTGTCAGCGGCGCACGTTTTGGCTCTCTGCAGACTCTTCCTGTCCTCCAATGTGCTGCTCCAAGGAAAATATCCCAACAGGAACTTCCAGGCTTCTTTCCTTGTGGCGTGACAAAGGCCCTGCAGGTAACAACAAAAACACGTGTCACATGACTTCAGTCCAACTGTACAGACTCACACCTGGAGGCTGTGTGATGAAACAGGTTTAATTTAACCCTGGCTTCTTTTTTACTGAACCAAACACCGCCACCACATTATTAAAGCACGAGTAGCATGGTGTAAATGCTGAGTCAGCATTCACAACATTGTTGACTTTTTTTTAGCATCCAACTTCTTCGTAGTTTGTTCAACTACATACAGTATATCAAAACATTACGTTCGTTCAGGAATGTTTTTGGCGTTTGTTTAGCCCATATCTTAGATCCTTATTTACCGTTTCTTTTTATACTTTTTTTTAGTATAACTGGCACCCTGAGTACATAAATGACAATAAAGTTGACCTGAACTTGAGATGAGTGCTATGACTTTTTTGTTTTTTGTAACTTTAATATTTTACAAAATATAAACTTTATTAAAAAAAAAAGTTTTTTAAATACATTGACAACTCCGGATCTTTCAAAAATGTTCTCATTAAAACTTTCTTTCGTGTACTTCTTCTGCTAATTTTAGCAATACTACTGCTAATGCTACTATTACTACTACCACTATTGCTAAATCAACTACTACTTTGAGTGTATGACTTTGTGTTTTAAATTCCAGTACAGTAGTCCCTCACTACTTCGCAGTTCGTTTATCGCGGACTCGCTCTATCGCGGATTTTCAAAATAAGATTGGACATGACACACAGTTGGCTGATTGATGGATGAACCACATGATCGGCATGGTATTTTTATTTGAAATAAATTATTTTGAATTATTTTGCACCTGCTGCAGCTTTGTGCAGCCCATACTGCTGCAGGTTGAACTTCCTGCTGCAGCTTCTTTTTTTTATTACTTTATTAACAAATTACATAATACAAAACTCTCAGAGGATATATATCAACAAACAGAAAGAAGATAAAAACAAAACAACTACCAAAAAAAACAAACGCACACACATACACAAAAAACATGGTAAAAGAAGGGGGGGGGGGGGGGATTACATAAATTTCAGAATCCTTGTAATTTAAACAATAAAGATAGAGTACCATCATGAGAGTGTAGACTACATGAGGAACAAATCAAAAAAGTAAAAACCTGGAAATGTCTTCATAGATCCTTACAGAAATGTTAGATTTCTGCCTCTTGAGAGAAATAAAGTATTGTTTAAAGTCATTGATAAACCTTGTGAATGATGGTAATAAATTCCTCCACTTACTATAATGTATATGACATTTCCCAAGAAGAATAACAATGTTGATCATGTCAGATAGAGAAGATTGAAGGTTGTCCTTATAAAACAAGATATGTGATAATTCAAAAAGTGGGACATTACTGATTTTTAGTGATAACCAACTGTGTATCTGTGACCAGAAATTTGCTGATACAGGACATGAAAAAAACAGATGCGGTGTTGTTTCACATACTGAGTTACAGAAAGAACACGTCTACCTCAAATTTGAATCTTCTCCTTAGAAATTCTAAATGTTGTTAATTATTTTGAAATGTGTTTGATTTTTGGAGAGAGGCCAATTCACAAATTTGGAGAAAGCCTTTTCCATGTAAGTCTGATCCCCATTAAATCCCTGTTGCAGCTGATCAGCTGATCAGCTGTTCAGCGTGCAGAGCGGAGAAGTGGGTGTGGCCAAGAGCGTTTGCAGGTGGCAAAGAGCAGATGAGGCAGGGAGCTGAAATAATGACATTCTGTGCTCTTTTAGAGTGTTTTAGAGTTTAGAAACATTGTTTAGAATATTGCAAGAGTGTGGGTTGGGTTTAAAATGCCTTATATATAAATATATATACTACTTACTACTTGTACTACTATTCCTACTTCGCAGTTTTTCACTTATCGCAGGTCTTCAGTGTACGGATCCCGCACGATAAACAAGGGACTACTGTATAACCTAAGATAGTTCCTCCAGTAGAGCTGTCATTATTAAAACTATAAACATCAACTATTATGAGGACCAAATGGTCCATTTTGGTCACCACAGTTAACCAGTGTCCCTGTGTGTCACCTTTGCATGTCAATATTTTCCCAAGGAAATTTTTAAAACAAATTGCAACACCATTAGTTCGGTTTGTACCGTGGCTGAATAAAATCTTGTCACCCCATTGTAAAAGTTTCATCTGTGTTCGACGAGTGAGTCTCTTAAAATATAAAACTGTTCAATTTCTGTCCTTTTGAAAACAAAAATAACACTTCCTTTTTGATATTGTCTTTTAAACCTCCAGTATTGAGTGAACCAAATGAAATTCTCATTTAACATAAAAACAAGTATTAAAAATGAAAAGAATAACAAAGGGTTTAACCCTAAGATCGTTTGAAAACTGTTAACAAGAAATGTTTTTCAGTAAGCAAGCTTAAACTGAAGATCTGCATTTGCAAGTCTCTTTAAATGTCCAGCTTCTTTTGGCAAGCGTACCTTCCATTACGATTTGGTGCCCATCAATATACCCAAAGGGCCATGAAAATATGCCGCCTTTCAAGCTTTCCTGGCTTGATCAATAAGTGGCCACAGATGATTTCTCTCCTCCCAGTCCTCTTTGGGTAACATTTCAGCAAATTTGATGTCCAGCTCTTTCCAGTAGATGGATTTTGTTTTTGTTTTCCTCCAGATTTCTTCCTTCATTATTCTTGGAGTGAAAACAACATTTATTTTTGTTTTCCATCTTCCTTCCCAGTCTGTGTACAATATCCACTGCTTCTTCCAGCCTTGACTCAGATTCAGGAACAATGTTCTTCAGAGTGTATGACTACAGCCTTGACATCTTCATCTTTCTCCTCCTTCAGGTCTTTTATACGAAGGCTCCATCTCATTCTGTATCTCTCCTGTTCTCTGAGCCTCGTTTTAAGGTCAGCATTCTCCTCTCTTAGTTCATCATTTTGCTTTTCCAGCTCTTTCACCTTTAACTTTGTTAGCATTAAACTCCACTGCTTTGGCTAGGCTAGCTAGCATAACACTGCTACGTGTCACCTGTTGCTCAATATTTTCTACTTTCTCTCCAATCGTCATAATACTTTTCATTATATCTCTGAAAGAAACTTCCTCCTCTCCTTCCTCTTCGACTGACCTGAGTCGTTTTCCCCCTGGTGTCTTGCTTGGAGCTGAAGGTGCAGAGACATCTCTTTCCCTTTTATTTTGAGTGGAGAGTTCCATAGCGTAGCAGTGGTCTTTATTTGAAGCTGCTTCTTTCTTTTTTGAGTCAACTTTAAGCTTCGGGTCTTTATTAGTGTTCTGGGAAGCCATTTTGGTTTATTTGTTGGAGAATTAGCTTAACTGATAGGTGAAATTTAGGACTTGCTATGCAAACTCCCGAAAACACGACCGCTCAACCAGACATCTTGTCCCGCCTGAACGCCAACACCACTACAGCTAATGCGAACACTATTACTGCTAAAACTAATTCTACTTCTGCTACTTAGACAAATGCTAAAATACTGCTAATGCAAGCTCTACTAATGCCAATTTTAGTTAAAAGATAATGTTCCACTTAATTTAGCTGCTTTTTGCTACTTTTGGCTAGCTTTAGGTTTTAGCTAGTTTGTTAACTTTAGTCTTTAACGAGTTACAGTTTTGCAGATGATACAGCGGTGGTGGGATGCATCACAAACAATGATGAGTCCAGCTACAGGCAAGAGGTGGAACACCTGGAGAGCTGGTGCAGAGAGAATAACCTTCACATCAATGTGAAGAAGACAAAGGAGATGATTGTGGACTTCAGAAGGAACAAAAACATCTACACCCCCCTGAACATAAGAGGATCTGCGGTGGAAGTGGTCTCCAGCTACAAGTACTTGGGTGTACACATGAATGACAACCTCAGCTGGAGCAACAACACCACCAGCCTGATCAAGAAAGCTCATCAGAGACTCTACTTCCTCAGACGGCTGAGGCGAGCTGGTCTGGGAAGCTCAGTCCTCACCTCCTTCTACAGGTGTGCAGTGGAGAGCATCCTGTGCTCGAGCATCAATGTGTGGCATGGAGGTTGCACAGCTGCAGAAAGAAAAGCTTTGCAGAGAGTGGTGAAGGCTGCACAGAAATCTGTCGGAATCAGCCTCCCCACCATCACAGACATCTACACCTCCAGATGCAGGAAGAGGGCCACCTGCATCATGAAGGACCCCACTCACCCAGCACACACACTTTTTGCCCCACTCCCCTCAGGAAGGAGGTTAAGGAGCATTAAGTGTAGAACCACTAGACTGAGGAACAGCTTCTACCCTGAGGCTGTTAGACTCATGAATCTCTAACTAGAATAATCACTGTGAAAAACCATATCATGTTGCTGCTGATCTGTTTCATGTTGCTGCTGATCTGTTTCAATGTTGCTGCTGATCTGTTTCAATGTTGGTGTGTTCATGCGTGCACATCTGTTCACGGACTCATGTTCATGTTTGTGCTGATGTTCAATGTTTTATGTTATGAGTGCTTAGTGTATATTTAGTTGATGTTTTTCTTAGTTCATATCTTAGATGTCATTACTGTTTTTCTTATACATTTTATTGTTGGATGTAACTGGGACCCTGTGTACATAATTTCGCTCCACCACATGTACCACATGAGGTGCGAATGACAATAAAGAAACTCTGACTCTCTGACTCTGACTCTTACTTTATACTTTTAGATTTAATTGGAGTTTAGCAACTTTTATTTAGCATTTTATAGCCTTGAGCTAGTGTTTTTCTACTTCCTGCTTATGTTTTGCTAATTTCAGCTAGCATTTTGCCTCTTTTTGCTACTTTTAGCTTCTTCGGCAAATTAAATCAAAGTCGATCAGAGCTCAGCGTTCATGCTGCATTTTCACAGAAATTTTGTGACCCCCACCCCCCCCACCCCCTGAAAAGGAAGAAGCGGGTAAAAATAATGGATTTTATTGTTCCCAGTTATTACGATTAACTTTAACTGAACAAATAATCTGTAGGTACTGTTATTTTTTGTATTTGTGTGATGTATTATATGTGAGCGGTCCGACTTGCCCCCTTGAAGATTTTGTTCCGTAGCTCCTCGATGCCCTGCAGCCTCCCCTCGGCGTCGTGGTGTTTGCTCCAGTCGTCTGCAGTCAGCGGCTCGCCGCGGCTCACCTGAGGCCTCACTCCCAGGTCGATCTGTCAGGATCACAGATGATGTCAGAACGTGTCACATGACCGCTGCGACTCACCTGTTCAAGTCTAAACACATGACAGGTGATCTGCTTATAAAATGAGCCAATCATGCTACAGAGATCCCTGAGTCTTGTCTTACAGGCAAACATGTTCCAAAGGTTTCAGAGTTTATGAAGGTACATTTACATACTTATATTTATCATAAACATTTATTAATAAAAATTCAGTTCCAGCCCTCTGACGGAGGAGGATTAAGGCATTTGTTCAGAGATGTTAACTTCTCTCCTCTGTGTCTGAATACACTGAGAACCTCACCCTGGTGATGACCTCGAAACCCGGTTCCTCCTGCTGGTTGATCTCCAGACCCGGGATGACTTCACCTAGCAGGTCTGCAACCTCCTCCGGGGGGCGCTGCTGCTGCTCCTCCGTCCCCCGCAGAGCGTCAAAAAGGTAGTTGGTGACCTTAGAGAAGCCGCCGAGCGTGGCGACGTATGGATCACGTCTAAACTTCTGCAGGAAGAAACCACAAATTTCAGAGGGGCCCGACTGATTCAAGGCTCAGCAAATGATCTCAAACTCAGTGACTCACATGAGGCTCGACTAACCCAACACTCGGTCATTGTTCTGAGGCTCGGAGGCTAATCCACAGGTTGATAATGAAAGAGCCATGGTTCTGTGACTAATCGAAACTTCAGCAACTGACACTCGTGACTGATCCAAGTAAATTCTTGACTACTAAACTTGGTGATTGACCGAAAACTCGACAAATAATTTGAAACTAGGTGACTAGTTGGAAACTTGGTGAAGTATCTGAGGCTCAGCAGTTGGCTAGAAAGTCAGTGCCTACCGGACACAAGGTGATGGCTGGAACCTTGATCTGAGACTTGGTGACCTGGTAGGTTGTTGGAAATTTGGTGACTGATCTGAGACTCAACAACAAATCAAAATTTAGCAACTGAAAATTCAGCAGCAGAGCCTCTGAAACTGAACAGTTTCTTGACGGGAAGTGGCTCCGTGCTGCTTCTGAATTAAACCCAAATATTTGCCTTCTTGAACATGTGAAGGACAGAAGTAACAGTTTGTTTCAGACCGAACATGGAACTCACAACAGGAACTTTGTGCAGTAAAATAAGGTTCTGAAGCCCCGCCCTGAGACCACCTGCCCCGTTAGAAGCTCCATTTCCTACCCGCTTGTTTCCTCAGGTGTAAGTGGTTTTGCAGTGGCAGGAGTTTTTCTTTTTTATTCTTACGTGAACAAGACCATAGCTGTTGTCGTCCAGCAGGTTCTCGAAGGACTGTGACAGAGCTTTGTTTGGAGTGCTGACCAGTAGGCACGTTTCATCGTCAGGAGACCTGAAATGTCACAGAGTGCGGTCAAAGCCTGTTCACCATGAGGTGTACAAACACCCACCGCTGATCCAGCCTTTCACTGCAGATAAGAACTTTAATAAAGCTATCAGTGCTGCAGCAGCGGCGAGCCCCGAACCGTAATCTCACTTAATCTCCGCCTCAGAAGATGCGTCACCTCCGCATGAATTAGCATATAAATGACTGGACTCTACAGAAACACTGAAACACTTCTCTGCTTCAAACATCACGTTAAACTGTCAGTTTCTTCTTGATGTTTTTCCTCCATGTCACTCAGCTGAGCTTCACTCAGCTGGATCAATCCGAGGATCTGATCCATCGGATGGAGATAAATAAAACATTTCATTTAACAGTCAGCAAAGGTTTGTGCAGAGAGCAGCAGCAAACAGGAACTTCCTTATATGCTCGTTACACCCTAAAGCCCCCAGTATACTCCCGCGTACGTCCATACGCGGAGGTACGCACATACGTACGCGGAGGTACGAGCGTACCCCCCAGGGCATGTCCGTGCAAAGCTAAATTTTTACGACCGTGTACGTGTACGCGGTGTTGCACAATAAACTGCCCGGCGACCGACTGTTTTGTATGTGACACCAATGTATTAAATTTCCCTTCTTCATCCCTAATCTGGCCTTTTCTTTTGTTTTTTTTGTCTGCTGCATTCCTTAGATAGAGAACTTTACTAATTGGCTTTTATGTATGTGAATGTTTCTGTAAAGTGCCCCGAGACAACTTTGTTGTGATTTGGTGCTATATAAATAAACTGAATTGAAATTGAATTGAATTTTTTTGCCAAGAGGCAGTGATCTCTTCCTCCTCCATTGACTCCATGACTGAAATGGTGAGAAATGAAGGAATTTGTCACGAGCGAATTAAACTCAGGTCTAGCGTGGCTGCGGGAGGGTCTGGAGATTTCCTGGTGGGCTGGTCTGATGTGTGGGCTGCAGAGCCAGCGCTCCCAGGTTTTTTTTTTTTTTGATATTTTTATTAACAACCTATAAACACAGAACACCACTGCGGCTGAAGCTGCCAGTGCTCGTTTTTCTTTCTTTTTGACCTGTCAATCAATCCAGTAGGCGTGTCAGCAAATGACCAATTGCCTAACTCAATTTGTCCCGAAGGTAAACACCCCTTGTCTGTGAAGCTCCTCTGCAGCTGCTCAGGGTGTACGCTCGAGTATCAAGTCTGAACCCTCTGCGTACAGTACACGTATGTACGCGGGAGTATACTGGGGGCTTAAGAAATATACAGTCATCACCTAAAATGTTTATCCGCCACCCCCCTGAGATGTAAACCCTACAACTAGAGATGAGTGACCACACCGCTTGAACTATGACCCGACCCACGGAGATATCTGATCCCACTCATGAGATGTTTGACCCTGCCCCTAGCTAGAAAACCCCACCTGTATGGTGTATAATTCCACCAAGCTTTATAAACAGACCCAATGAGAGGCTTAACCCCACCCCCGAGTTTTAAAACTCGTCCTCTGCTTTGTGAAGTCAGAACCATGTTCTCCCCCTGATCAACACGTTCTTGCCTGTACTCACTCTGAGAGCAGAGCAAACCTCCTCAGGCTGTCCAGGAACTCTCTGCTGCCGCCCTGGTGGAAGTGCAAGGCAGGGAGGGAGGCAGAGGGCTCCTTCAGCTGGATGATGAGGAAGGTCCAACCTTCATCATTCACTGTGATGGACCTGATGTCATTGATGCTGACAGAGAAGGCCCGACGGCTCCTGCCCTGGCTGTGACTCAGAGAGCCTGAGAGACAAGATGTAGGGCTCAGAAAACATATTTACTGTTGCAGGCTGCAGAATGATTCCTATTAAAACTCAAGTTAATGTTAATAAAGTTTGGGTCAAGACTAGAGGTACTGCTGGTTGTTGACCAGAACCACTTTGTTCCAACACAATGAGTATCGTCAACCAACAAAAAGTTCACACACTCACCCTCTCCGTTGATGCAGGGCTTCTTCTTGAAGGACACGGCATTCACCATGTCCCACTCCGTCTCGTAGCTCAGCTGCGTCTCCAGCAGCTGGTGGGACTGGGACTTCTCCCTGGGGGACTGGGCCCACTCCACAACTGAACTGGAGTCCTGATCAAACACACATGAACGTTACCTGAGGCAGCTGTGGGGTCATCACGTCACCAAGCAGCCAGAAACCAACCTGTCCTGCACACAGCATGTTGGACGGGTCCACCGAGTCCTCCAGAGGTCGGTAATCCACCAGAATCTCAGCGTCCTGCATGCAAGATGAAACAAGACTGAGGAAAGTGCAGAACACAACTGATCAGTCAGCTGTCAATAAATACAGAATTAGAAATCGGTACACTTCAGAAAAAAAAAATCAACTTTTAGGGAAAATTAAAATACAGAAGACAGCTGCAGCGATCAGACTGATTATTGAATATCTAAAAACTGTTAATACTGGCACATGTGACATTTACACTCTGATCTTTAGTTAACAAACAGAGCCACGTGACATGAGTGGGTGTTGACATCAGCTGTCATGTGACACCAGGCTCTTACCTTGTCTACAACCCGGAGGGACCCGGAAAGCAGCAGGTCCTGGTCCGTGCCTCCTTCATCTGCGTTCGGATGGATGAAAACTCCGTCAAGCTCAAAAATCACCTGAAAGTCAAACAGCAAGAGTCCAGAAACTAAACCCTGTGGGCTCGAACCGAATTTAACCAACTCAGAAACTTTACATAGCAGCTGAGTATAGTTTAACAGGAAGTACCACCAGAGCACATCAGAACTTTGTTAACTCCAGGCGAAACAGAAAGAACCGCAGCAGCACCGGGGAGTGACACGGCCTGAAGCCGTGACAACAGCGGTGTTTCCGGGCTCTCCCCAGCCGTTACTCGTGTCAATCATTACAGTGGACAGTGCTGTCCCCCTAGACCTTCCGTGACCCGCGGCTCACCGACCACCGAAGACCCGGGACGAGTCAGGTGCAGACGGGTCAGACAGATGTCAGCAGGGGCTGACGGTGACCCGCCTCCGCTGCTGGTGTTGGTGTAGCTGTGGGGTAGTTAGCTCTACAGCTAACCCTGCGGCGAGAACCGAATGTCCTCGCGGACATACATCTGCCGGACAGGTACACTGATGTCGACCAGGTCCGGGTTTAAACACCGACTCGCACCCGGCCGGTTCTATCCTCTGTGCACGTCACGAATGTTTCATGATTTTACCTTAAGCACGGAGTCCGCCGCCATGTTGCTTCTCTCCGTGACGATGGCGCATCACGTGACAAGCAGTTACCAAAACAAAACTGACAGCTCAGCTTCCGGTTAACAAAAACAAAAAAATCAAACAAACAAATTCCAGTAAAATATAAATCTGCATAAATTTTAATAGAACTTACGGAGCCTCGTAAGGTCAATCTCGGAAAAAAAATATTACGTGCCGTCAATGTTTTTGCGCTCCCTTTCAATCATGCGCATGCGTAAACTCATTCCCCTACACAGCTACTTCCGGTAGTCTTAGCAGAGAAAAGTTTTAAAAGAAAAGTCTCAGGGATGAATATTCCAATAACATTTATTAACAAAGTAAAGACTCATTAAGTATTAAATATGAAAACGTTGATGAACATATAAACAAGTTAAAATCATTTTTGGGCTGTTCCATCTTCAGGGGCCACCATCCTCCAAATGGAGTAGATAATTGACCAAATTCAGCTAAATCTTTCAAAAATGGATGCAAGCAGAAAATTGCACAGACCTTTTGTAGACTCTTTTTAAACAATATATTATGACTGAAATTTAACACAAACTTTTCTGTTGTAACAGTAAACTACAATTTTGTGTAGTTGGTCTCGGCGTAGGGCGTATGTATGGGTTAAGTATAGAAATTTTGTCAGCCAAAATGAAATGGTGATCATTTTGAAAGTTTTATCAATGGCTATTGTGATTTTCTAAAAAAAAAAAAAAATGGCCTCACAACTCCTACTTGTTTCTTTGCCTGCATCCACATTGGAAAGATTTTACTCATCTGCTCCATCCATTGTCCTCCAAATACGAACAAATTAATATTCAAACATGTTAAAGAGTTTTAAAAAGAGCACTCTCTCTGTGAACATGACATAAGTTTGTCAAAAACTATATTGTTGGGTAGTGATGGTGCATAGGTTAGAGAAGACGAGCCTGTGATTGGACGGTCGCTTGTTTAACTCCTCTGACCGACAACATTAAAATGTGGGTGAGAAAGGTGAAACACCCACACCTGCCTCCATCCTTATTTTCCCCACTCTGGGCCCTTGACCAAGGTCCTTAATTCCCACCATCTGCTCCCCTGTGTGCCCTAGATGGCAGCTCTCTGCTCCACACAGAGGGCTGTGGTAGCTCGGTGGTCGTGTCAGGAAGAGCATCCGGCGTAAAAACAGTTGCCAAGTCTTCGTGCGGGTTAGTTCGCTGTGGCGACCCCTGAAGAAACGAGCAGCTGAAAGAAGGAAAAAAAAAATCTTTAACTAATTAATCCAAAAAAGTTCAATCTGGTCCTCTGGACATTCAAAAAAAAAAAAAAAAAAAGCAAAAAAATCTAGAAACGTTTCGTCTCTCATCCAAGAGACTTCCTCAGTCTGAGGTGCTGTTTTCAGCTCAGTCTCTTAAATAGCACCTTCTCAGAGTGGATCAACCAGTTTGCTGCTGTTTGAATGTCCAGAGGGCCAGATTGAACTTTTTTGGATTTTTCTACCTGGATTATTGAGCATGCATCAGGATATTTACCTAATTAAAATTTTGTGTGCAGCTGAGCCATTAAGGCCACGAAACCCTGCTGGACAGACTTGAGTTGTTCCAGTGTCTCCTCGTGCCGCTGCTAGGTAGCTTCCTCAGACTGCCGTAGGAACTCCATCAGCTCGGTCACTTTCCTGCGTTTACAGCTTTTGGGGTAGAGGACATCTGTGTCTCTCTTGGGTCCGTCGTCAGGCTGGATGTTGTGCCTCCAAGTGCTGCGTTGATGCTCTGCCTCAGCACTTCTTCTTTCCAGACCTCCAGCCCGTCAGTTGTCCCAACCGGGGAGACGATTTGCTATTGCTCTTCGTCCATTTCATTGTAGAACTGGAAGCAAACACTCTTCTTCCCTGTGGCTCTGTTGCTGTCCTTCACCTTCTTATACCCCTCAACTAGAGTCCCCCATTTCCACTTTGTCAGGGGAGAAGCAAGTGCTTGAATTGAATCCCTCCAGATTTTCTGCAGCCTCCTTCCACAAGATTTGTTTCATTAGTTTTGGCTGATTTTAGCCGCGTGTTGAGCTCCTGCAGGTTCTTTGGGAGGCCCTCGCTGTTTTTGATGTGTTAACGCATGAAGTCGATCAAAAACAGCGTCTGCTCTCTGCTGAAGCTGTTGTTTTTGGGAACAAGTGATTGTGAAGGGCTGCTCACTGCAACCAGATTGTTGTAAGAAAATAACCACAGAAAAGCAACAGGTTAACATTGAATTTGATTTGGATTACAATTATCATTATTATTACAACAATTATTGTTGAAGCACATAACACTCTTTTTAAAGATTAACTGTTCGACTAAATTTACATATTTTAGAGCTTTTAACAGATACCAGTGCGCATGCGTACATTCCCGCTACTTCCGGCAGCTAACTTTGCTGTTATGGTTAACAATAACAGCTCCACGTGCGTTATAATGTCCTCCGACAAACATTTAAAAGCATGTATGTACATGTGACTAAATGTGAAATAAATTAACAACGAAGTGCCAGAAACGGTAAAAGACGCAGTTTTCAATTACAGCTGTTGATGTGCAGCCATCTTATATTATTTACATGAACGCTCCTACAAGCACCCTGCAGATGTTGGATGCTGTCTATCATGGTGCACTAAGATTCATAACTGGCTGTGATTATCGTACCCACCACTGCACACTGTATTCACTGGTTAACTGGACATCATTAACTTCACGCAGACTCTCTCACTGGTACATTTTCATCTTTAAATCACTTCTTGGTCTGTTGCCTTCATACATCTCCTCCTACATGTCTCTGCGTGAGTGCAGCTACGGAGTGCGCTCTCAGGACATTATTACCTGCAGTGTTCCCTCAATGAGGACTGAACTAGGCAAAAGGGCCTTCTCCTATTCCGCTCCTGTTTCCTGGAACATCTTACAAAAAGATTTGAAGCTCTCGACCTTGACCTCTCTAAGTGTCTTTAAGAATCTGTTGGACACCTGGCAGGGTCCAATGCTGACATGTTCCTGTTTTTAGTTTTCTACATTTGTCTTGGAATCTAGCTGTTTTTTGTTTTGTTACCTTTTCCTTTTAGCCATCCTATTTGTTAAAAAAAAAAAAAACTGTAGTATGCTTTTTTATAACTGTTTATTGTTGTTGTCCGTTGTTGTCATCTTTCTTTGTTGAAATCAGGTCTCTCTTGTAAATGAGTCCTCGAGGCTCAATGGGATTTACCTGTATAAATAACGGTTGATTGATCTTCTTCTTTGTTGTTCTGCAGAAGTGCATACCGCCACATACTGTTCAGGAGGGTGTACTGAAGCTTTTTTATTTATTTTTATAACAAATACGAACAACAGTACAAAAAAAAAAAAAAAAAAACAATGTTAGCCAGGAGTGGCATTTATTCACAAACAAGTAAAAAATATATATTTTTTTAAATTTCACTATGCCATTATATTTATTTTTGGACAGTAGAACTGAGTGCTTAAGTCAATTATAAAACCAACACAATCTGGATATTTTTTAGGATGGCGAGTAGGAATTTGATCAAACATTTCATGTCAATAGAAAAATTACGCAAATGCTTTTAGTGTTTTATCTGGTTTTCTATGGGACCTTTATTTGACTGTTTTTATAACAAACTTTGATTTTAATTGCTTTTTGTTGTCTCTATACGTTGGGTCTAAAACAGGTCTCTCTTTTGAAAGTCCTTGTGACTCAATGAGACGGCGTGTATAAGGTTAAATGAATTAATCAATCCTCATTCTTTAAGAACAATGTAGTATCATTAACCAAATGCACAAAAATTATTTATTTTCCAGTGATTTTTATTCTTTTAATGGGCTGGCTTTAATGTGATCAGACAGAAGATATGGGAAGACAGCTGTCTTGATTCCTCTGCAGATATTAAATATGTGACAGGTGTTGCTTCTTTATTTGATCGAGCAATTATTTTGGTATTGTTTTGATAACAGTAAAACTTTTTACCAAATCCAAACTCAAGAGTATGGACCATAAATTACCGTCACCAGACTCCAGGTAGTCTAAAGTAACCAAAATAAGTCTAATATTAATCATTTTAACCTGATTAAGGCCCATTTGTAATTGTTACTGAGAAGGCAGGTGGGACAACAATCATCAGGAGTGAGGTTTAAATATGTTCCTCAGAACTGGTTGTTCGGACCAAACCTGAAATTAATGAAAAAAAAAAAGTTTGTATAAAAAATGTTTTTTCTCAGATTTTGTGATTTATACAAAATAATAATGTCAAGTTTATTCCAGTGAATCAGAGCTTCAGCTGCTGGGGGTCAGAGGTCATCAGGAAGCAAATATGTTTTCTAAAAGTTTCTTCTTCTCTTGTTTAAATGCTTTTAAGATTTTTTCCCTCATTGAAAAGTTAATTTAGTCTTTTTTTTGCTGAAGCTGCAGCTCATTTGTCTCAGCAAAGTATTCATATAAACAATAAAAACTCTCGACACTTGTTTCAATATTTAGAGAAAATAATTTATTAACATCTGACATGTAGAAAAACAGCAGCAGTGCGACGAGCGTCTCTTTAGTCGTCGTGTCAACAGATTGCACTTGAGCAGTCCGGCTGAGCGTGGCGGCGTCCTGTGGCATCCTCAATCTCCGTGGCAGTCTCTCACACTCACTCAGCCAATCAGAAAACAGAACGCTGGCGGGCGGCTGCGCTCCACAGATACTTGAACAAATACTGATCGCTTCTCACTTTGATCGGTTTAACAAATAAAACTTCCTGATTTCTTCTGACAAACATAAAACGTGTGTGGGAAGAGTTGAGGGGGGTGGAGCATGTTAAGTTGCCCCGCCCCTCCATTCTCAGGCGAGTGAATTAAAAAAGGGAGGGAAATGAGTCCAACTGAAAGGTGAGAGCAACTAAAGAGAAGGTGATGAAGAGCAAAGGCGGCACTCAGCAGCTGATACTTACAGACACTGTGAGAGAAGAGGGGCGGGGAGAAGCGGGGTGGGGGCGTGGCCTTACCTCGTCAATCAGTCAGATTAGTTTTACTATCAGTCTGATCACAGATCGACCGCCCCGACACTCACGCTGACCCCCGCCTGCTGACAGCGATCAACCAGTCGCCTCAGGTGTTCCAAGGCTCCGCCCTCTGCCGCCTCGAACAGCAGCCACTGTAAAGAAAGGGGGGGAGGGGGACAGACAGGTGAAGACACACGGGGAGGGGGAGGTAAACATACTGCACACAGGTGAGTCAAAACTGTTTCATCTGCTTTGAGCTGAGATAACACAAAATAAATCCTCTCTGGCTGAACTGAGTGCGATCAGATCACCTGCAGGTAAGATACTAACAACTCATAGTTCATCATTCACCAATTATTCAAATTTCTGAGCCAGGCTGGCCTGCCAGAAGAAAAGCCTCCCTCATCCATTTTAACAGGAAGTGCTGTTTCAGTTGTCTGAGGGCAGACTCAGAGGTGAGTGAGTGTAAACAGCTGTTTGTTTGTTTATTTGTTGTGTCGTGTCACAGAGAGTGAATTACATCTTTCCACAGGGCGGCACACAGCGGAAGGTTCTGCAGAGCTTGCTGATACAGAAGTCGCATCTACAAGAACAAAACAGATAAAATAAAAGAATAGAAGAAGAAAGAGGTGGACGCCGGAGCGTTGGCTCCGTTCTGCCGACACAAACAACACACTGACAGCTTCAGTACACCTGAGACAGGTGAGGGCACAGGTAGGTAACACCTGCAGGGAAGAGATGAGCTTTAAAGTTCATGTCAAAATGCTGCTGCAGCCTTCAGTCAGTCATTTCATCCAGTCTGCAGCAAAACACACCTGAGGACACACAGTATGACAAACACTGAAACACCAACTGATCCTGATGTGGACCGCTTGTCTGAGTTTGAGGAACTGAAGGTTCCTGAAGGAGGAAGCAGACACACGGGTGTGTTCAGTTTCAGCAGCGACTCTTGGCGGCCGCATCAGGTCCGTTTACAGCATTCAGCTGAAGTCACCTATGTTCTGCAGACTGGATGACGTGAGCGACCGGATGATGCAGAAACAAACAACAGAACAGGAAGTGAGTGTTGCAGCTGGCCCCGCCCCCTGTCCGTGGACTCACCTGGCCTCGCTCCTTCAGCTCCCGCTCCGTAGCGATGGCTCTGAACACAAACACCACAAACAGCGAATCAGCTCTGATTTTAACCTCCAGCTGTTTAAAGATCCCACCAGAACAGCTGAAGCTGTTACAGACCAATCAGTGCCAAAACGGCTCACATTCTGTTGGGCTAAAACATCGTTCCTGTTTGGTTCTTTTGATGTTTGTGTTTATCTGTAAACATCTAGTACCTACACTAACAAAAGGCCTAACATTCAGATATATCCAATCTTAAAACTGTTATTGGTTCAGATTTATAGCTGAAGGGATAGTTGGTGTTAGATCAGTGTTTGGGTTCTTCTCAGGACCACCTCAGATCCTGCAGGAGTGTTCACTCACATTCTCCAACTGGACAAACATCTGGGAGCGTTGCTGCTCTGCATGCGGGCCTGAAACTTCAGCTGCTCCATGTTTCCATCCAGAAACTCCTGATGTAACAACCTGCACAGCAACAAAGTGAGGACGCATCTCACACATGACAGCGTGTCCTTCTTCCTGCCACTCTGTGTGTGTGTGTGTGTGTGTGTATACCTGAGGCCCAGCTCAACGTTGGTCGGCATGGCGTTTCGAAGTCTCTCCAGAACCAAAGCTCGTTGTGACTTTGGAACAAACCTCAGGTAGAGAGACACCACCTGCAGGAGGAAAAAAAGAACCATCATCATGCAGTGGGCGGAGCCTCATAGCTGCCAGGTGAAATAGGTCATCAGGCTTTTACTTGTTAATCTATTGTTTGTCTGAGTGAAACTAGTTTTTCACAGGTTGTGGAGTTGGTCAGAGCCAGATGCAGCTGCTGCTCTCATACCTTGTTGTGGAAGTTGTAGCAGCTCCAGAACTTTGCTGAGTTGAAGGGAAGCTCCAGCCGGGTCGGCACCGTGCTGAGGCAGCGCTGGACCAGGTCTGGGAACAGTCTCTGGGAGGCGGCGCCAGCATGTGGACTGCAGCTGAACAACAGGTAGCTGAGGTGAGAGAGAGACAGGTGAGTCAGCAGGGAGGGCAATCCAGGTGCAGGTCATTGTGCTGTGGCAGGGACACACACTCCATCCACAGCGTGCGAAGCTCCTCCAGCTGCAGCACAGAGCCTAGAGCTCGCTCGAACGCCTCCGCCGCCTCCTCCACGGTACCGTGCAGCCACACCCAGCGACTGAAAACACAAACACGAGGAGCAGTTTTAAACATGACGCCATCAGGCGAGAAAACTGCTCAGAATCAGCCCGTGTGTTTAGCCCCACCCACAGCCTGGTCACCTGACTGATGACCTCACGACCTTCAGGTTGACTCACCAGTGGAGCAGGTGGAGGTATGACATCTGCTGCTGGAGCTGCTCCTCCAGCTCCTTCCTGATGATGGGACCGCTCAGCAGCTCTTCGGTGGGAAAGCCCAGGACGTAACTGATGGGACAAAAAACGTTAATCCTCACGTTTCAGACACCTCGTGATGAAAACAAATAAAACTCCACAACGAGCAGCTGCTGCAGAGATCAACTTTAGTTCTCTTTGGAATATCTGGTTGTTTGACCTCAAGAGATCTACAAAGGAGTTCAATCTTCAGGAACCAACATTAAGTGTGTGGGGGCGGAGCTTCACGTACCGTAGCACATCCACAGGAGTCTTCTGACTCTGCTCGTCCTCACAGAGTGACAGGATGAACCCTCGGAACAGCGGAGGGATGGCGCTCGATTTGTCCTGCCGAGAAGATCAAACATTCAGGTGAGAAACAGAAACTGGTTTCGTCAGCAGCAAGAGAGAATCCAAAGTGAAACATCAGCTCTGATCGTTTCTGCTAGTTTATCTGGGCCCAGATCCTGTTTTATTTTTCTGATTAATTTATTGTGGCCTACAGATTACTGCAGACGCCAGCAGACGGCTGCATACAGCCTGCAAACACTTGTTAGTACCTACAAATGAGCTACAGACCAGTAGAAGCAGCCTGGGCTCGCACCTGTGTCATGAGGAACTTGCAGCAGTGGTAGAAGACCTGAGCGTTGTGGGGACACTCAGCCAGAGTGTGCAGCCACATGTTGACCGCCTGCTCAGAGTTTCCTCTGCTGATGTGGAGGTCAGCCAGAGAGTCACGTAGCATGCACGAGTCGGGACGGAACTCCAGCAGAGACTCGCACAACGTCACACCTTCATCATACCTGCAGGGACACACCATTGTCATTGGAGTCCTATTAAAACCAGTCCAGAAGTCCAGGAAACAGTAGCGGGCTCACCTCTGCAGCAGTCTGTAGAGGAAGAGGAGGTTGGTGTGCAGCGGCATGCAGGCCAGCGTGTTTTCGCTGTCGGACCTGGACTCCTCGCTGCACTGAACGACAGCATCTGGAACAGGAACACAGAATATGAGAACCTAAAGCAGGTCCAGCTCCTGTAGAACCTTTGTGGTTCCACTTCGTACCTTTAAACAGAGCAACAAGGATGTCAGACGGCGTGCTGATGTCCTGCGCAGTCCTCCACGGCAGAATGAAGGACTCTTTGCAAGTCAGTCGTGCCGGGCCGAACTCAGCCGGGTCGTACAGGCTGGACGGCAGCCGGTCAAACTCTGTCAGGTGGATGTAGGAGAGCCAGAGCAGCGCCCGGTCATCGGCTGTCAGGTGGTCGGCAACGCTGTGGTCCTGAGTTGACTTCAAGGCCGTCTGAAACAAACGCAACTGGCGTCATAGAAAGAAAAACAATCACAGCAATGAAAATCCCAGATCCAGCAGATTCTTTTCTTTTTCCTTTCTGGGTTTTTGAGCTGCAGATTTTGTTTGCTCTAGTTTTTTTTTTAAAAAAGGGCAGCCACTGCTAAAAGCAGTTTTGTTTTCCAGAAAGTTGTCAGAAGTTTGTGTGAGGTGCAGGTCAAACAGATAAAACTCATCCAGAACTGATGCACACCATCAGAACCACAAAAAACTACAAATCTGGGGACACAAGATGGCGGCGATAAGGTAGGATGTGCTGACTTGGGCTCCTGCCGGTACTGCGCAAGAACCGGCTCGCATGAAGATATTCTTGCTGTCTTTACGTTGGATGATCTACTATTTGACAGTGGTAATCGACTTGTTCAAGCTTTGAAATGGTGTTGAAACTTAAATATAAATATACGACTTCTACAGCCACGGGGCCTAGCACCTCCTCGGGTCAAGACATTTCCAATGCCGGGGGCTCGACTTCGCCCCCACCCGATACCAGAGAGACAGACATGTGAGCCCTGAAGTCGGACATTCTGGCCTCTATTAAAACAGAAATTTCAGCGGTGATTAAATTGGAAATTTTTCATTCATTCAACCTTTATTTAGACAGATAAATCCCATTGAGCCTCGAAGACTCATTTACAAGAGAGACCTGAAATGAAAGCCACCCTCGCAAAGGATGAGCTTCAAGCTGTGAGAGCGGAGGTGGCGAACAGCATCACGACGCTCAGAACAGGAATAGTCCAGGTGAAACAAAAGTGTTAAAAGATATCGAAGGACTGTCCACCTGGATGGACCAAGTCGACACTCTGCGCAGCACTGTGATGGCGCTGAGGGATGAAATAAATGGGCTGAAGAAGCAGTGCAAATTATTTATTAACCTTTATTTAACCAGGCAAATTCCATTGAGATCACAGATCTCTTTTGCAAGGGAGGCCTGGGCCTGAAGCAGCCTAACATGCATGTTTTTGGTCTATGGGAGGAAACCGGAGTACCCGGAGAAAACCCACACAAGCACGAGAAGAACATGCAAACTCCACACAGAAAGACCCCAGGTCCAACCGGGGATTGAACCCAGGACTTTCTTGCTGTGAGGCAACAGTGCTAACCACTGAGCCATCGTGCTGCCAAGTCGTGGAAAGATGCATGAGAAGGTGCAACATTAGGATTCGCATCCCCCAGCATATAAACACCATATAAACACTGGACAAGAGAAGTCGTATCATTTTCATCTGGAAAAAAAAATCAGATATACTTTGAAAGGTTCTGTTGAGGTTTTGGGACACGTGGCAGCCATTTGTATCGTATGTTCAAAATATGTCAGTGCCTGTTTAACACGTTCATGTCTGCACGGCTGATCCGGTGTGGGTGGGGTGGGATTATGTTATTTTGTTGTACGTTTTCTTCTCTTATGTATAGGTATGTTCTAAAAAAATAAAGAGAATTTCAATAAAAAGACTTGGATAAAAAAAAATAAAAAAATCTACAAATCTGAGTGGCAAATAACCTCAAAGTTAATAATCTGAACTGGAATAAGTGTTAAAATGGCTCCAGACAGTAAGAACGTTAAATTTTTCCTAATGAAATCAATTTTGTTCAAATATTACCAACAAAAACTCATGAAATATCATTTTTGTTGTTTCTAAAGAATCAGAAGAACGTTTCTTCTAAACAACAGGAAATATTTGTGGACAACGTTCTGTTCATCTTAAGTTGAGTCAGATCCCTTTGTTCTAATGTTTCAGATCCCTTTGTTCTAATGTTTCTCCGTGAAACACTCCCGTGCGTTTGTGCCGAGTCAGCACAGAGATTTGATCAGAACCGGCCCGTCGAGACACGAAGCTGGTTTTACCTGCAAGATGGCTAAAGCGGTCTCCATCCGGCCCGTGGACAGACTGAGCTGGACTCTGTAGAGCAGCGCCTCAATCAGCTGGAAGGACAGTTTCTCCGTCACGCCCGATGCTGCCTCGGCCTGCAGGAAGTGCAGCAGCCGCTCGCACACGTAGTCCTTCCCCTCATACGAGTTCTCCAGGTTCAGGTACTGAGGAACAGAACCAGCAGGGTTTATTAGACCCAATTCAGACCAATGAAGCTCCTCTAGCTGGTTTTGGAGAAAGAAGTAAGGACTTACGCTCCACCACACTCGGTGGTCGGGGGCGTGCTCCACCGCCATCTCACACATCTCCTGCACCTCCTCCCTGCTGCCACGCCTAGAGAACAGCGACAGGTAGTGACTCCACACCTCGGGGTCATCACAGTTACTCTCCAGAGCACGAGACAGCGTGTTCAGAGCTGCCTCCAGACTCTCTGCTGCAGAGCTGCAGGAAACAAGCATACGGTCAGAACCAGAACCACGACTGACCCGGACCAGCAGCAGCAGCAGGAGGAGGAGGAAACTCACGTCTCACTCTGGTTCAGGTACTTAAAAGCCAGTTTGATCCACAGCTGAGTGTCTCGAGGACTCTCCAGAACACTCGCCTCCAGGTTTGAGATGTCGTCCGTCTCACTGGTGAAGTACCGCCTGTCCTCAGACGTGACAACGTCCACAGCAGACGAGCTGATGCTCACGATGTCCTCTGTCAACCACAAACAAGAAGAGTCACTAATGATGATAGAAGGAGGAGGAGCTTAATGTGTACAGCAACCAAAACCGAAAAATTTTATAGTCCATGATAAAAGGAAAAAGTTTGTGGCTATCCTAAAGATGTCAGTGTCTCTGACCTTAGAACGTTAATGTTTGTCCTGAGGACGCCAGTTCTAGTCCTGAGGACGTGTCTCACCTCCTCCTGCAGGCATCAGGTATCCAGCTGAAGTCTCATCACTGCCTTCATCCTCGGGGCTGGCAGTGCTTTGTGTCGCGGGCTTCGGCCTCCACCTCCTCGTGTCTTTGAAGGTGGTGAACGGAGGAACTGCAAACAGCGAGCGGACACGGGTCACGCATCTGAAAGCTGCAGCTGGTGATACCATGGTTACAGCAGAGCCTACCCACCATGCCGTTTGCTTTCGTTGACTTTACTGACGAGGAGGACGGCCTTCTGGTCCACCCCCATCCGGTCTTTGTTTGGACCGAACAGCTTCTTCAAATAGCCCTCTGAACAAACAAACAAACAAAAACATTTAACAGTAATGTTGAACCACAGGAGACGCATTTGACTCGTTTCACCAACAGCAGCAGAATGGATTTGTTTTTAAAAGTTCTGGTATGAATTGATCTGGCCCAGTATCAGAACAGAACCCCTGATCATCAGCAGCTTCAGGTGATTGTAAACCCATGCAGAGACCCAGAAGAGCCTACCTGTGGCGGTGCTGACTTCCTGGTCCAAGCTGCTCTCAGAACAGCCAATCAGAAGCAGGTTGTATGACAGGATGTCTTGGAAGAGCTGATTCCCGCTCAGAGTGCAGTTCCTCATGTGCTGCCTGCAGACAGATGGGAGGTTAAAGAGGAAGCAGCCAGGACGGGTTTCGGATCAGAACCAAAGAGCTGACACCCACCACCTGCAGTCGTCATCGTTGCAGGTTCCCGTCAAGTCGAAGCGGCAGAAACACTTGTTTGGTTCAATGGTGTTGCTGAAGGTCACCGAGCTGAGGGACAACTTCTCCTTGGTTCTGTAATATGGACTGAACCTGCGAGGGAACAGGAACTTGGTTCAGACCCAGCTTGACCTTTGACCTCAGCGTTCAAGCAGTTCTGTAGACCTCACTCGTGTGTTCCTACCTGTAGGACTTGAAGACCCGCAGCGGACTGCAGTATACTTCAAACGAGACGGGTTTCAGCTCGGAGACCACCGATTGGCTCGTTGGTTCCACCTCCACTTGGATCACCTGACCAGAAACAAAACCACCGAAGAAATGGTGAATGAAAACCTCAGAAACATCAGGAGGGAATGTGATGGAAACAGTCACACCGTCCAGATCCATAATGGTTTATTTAGTCAAATCTAACCATTAACAATTAATTTAACTAATCAATAACTGCTCCAAAATAAATAAAAAAATGCATGTTTAGGTTTGTTGTTTAACTCTGTGCAGAGGTCATCATCACCTGTGCAGTGGGGGTGTTGTTCATGTCCTCCCCCAGTCTGTGCAGCTCTGTCTGCAGCAGATCTCCCAACCGGGCCTGCAGCTGGTACCTCCTCTTCAAACCGTCTACGTCCAACCCTGCAAACGTCTCTGCAGGGAGCGTCGTGCTGGCCGCCATCTTGGTCAGTTTGGCTTCGTCTTTAGAGGGAGCGGAGTTTGGAGTATCCAGGTGGGGTTTGGTAAAGGAGCTGCTGGACTGACGGAGGGAGTTGCGGCGGCTGCCCTTCGCTGCAGCAGCAAGTTCTGGTTCCTGATCCTCAACGTCCGGGACATCCTCGCTGTCCAGAACCAGTTTGTCCTGGGACAGGTCATGTAGGGAGGGCTGGGGCAGGTGGAACGGACTGGAAGAGGGCGGCTGTCGGTTCTTAGGGTCCGGTAGGGGGGTGGAGGTTGGGTCTAACTGCTCTGTGGGGGGTTCTGCAGGGACTCCTTTGTTGCGCCGGGCCTGAGCCTCCTTCAGTTTTTGGATCTTGAGGGCGTACTCGGACTCCAGCTGCTGCAGCCGCCGTTTCTGAGCAATCAGCTCGCTGAAGTGGCGCTCGGAGTCACGAGGAACCGCGTCCAGACGCTGCAGCTTACCGGGCTGAGAAAACAGAACAGAACCCAGAAACACGTTATAGATGTGAAGGCGTACGGACACCTCTGGCTGAAGGAGGAGGGAAAACCTGTCCAATGACTGAGTGGCACCATTCTGTTCCAATGTCAACTGCCCACAACTCAGGGCATGTTTTTACCACCAGAGCTGGTTTCACTCATATTCTGCAGCCCTGACATGTTCTGCTGTAAATAAAACAAACATCTGGACAGTTTAGTCCTGATGTTCTGCAGAGAATACCAGCACAGACTTTGTAAGACCTTTCACTGACCGTTATGGTTTAAATGTGACCTACATGAACTAGTCAATGATTTTATTTGTTCATTCAAATTTAATCCAAATCATCCCAAAAACTACAACAAATCAGTTTCATGAGCAGAGCAACCAGATTATTTTGCAAGGATGGATAAATGTCTGAAAATGAATTCCTCCTGATGCATGATGGGAATTTACGTTTAATTACATCAAAAATATCTGGAATCCTCAGAACTACAGACACACAGAACGAATATAAAATTTTAAGACGTGATTAAACGTATTGTAAGACCAACAAGCGGTACTACGATGTTCCCTGCTGATGAGAGATTCGAAAAATGAATGTTTGTAGTTTTTGAGATGAGTGTTTTTCTGGACTGGAATTGAACAGAGAATGTAAATAAGTAAACCTTAATGTTTTTGGTGCAAAATATTCAGGTGTGTAGGAATTACACTGAGTAGAACAGAGGTAGGTTTTTTTCCTGCAGAGTGACGGATCCTGGAGTGGAGGGAACAATTTGATCCACCACCAGGTGCAGAGGTGGAGCCAGGGGGTGGTCAATGGTGGCCATGGCCACCATAGATTAATCTTCAGCCACCCAAATTATTTGAGGAAACTATGCTTTTAAGCAATGTAAAACTAGAACTCAGTTTCCTCAAATAATAGGGGTGGGCGATTTACATATATAAATGGTGATTGTCATCTTTTGATGTGGCAACACAACGTCTGATAGTGACCGTTCTTACTTCTAGATGCAGCCACTCACCAAACTGGAAGTCGGCACGTTGGTACTTTTCAAGTTATCCAGCTCACAAGACGGACAGACATATATCTGAAATACATCTGCTCTGCTTTGTCAAGTCTTTTGAACCTTTTGTGTTTAAAATGTTATTTTTAAATAAAGTTGTGCTGAGAGTGGAAGGTCAAAGGTCGTGTCTCACCGCAGTCTGACTGGAGTCCGTTGGCCGTTTGGTTCTTCTGCTGGCAGTCAACTGTGCCTGGTTCAGTTCCTGCTCCAGTTGAACCTCCAGTGTCTTCTTCAAGGACACGCGGTGCTCGACACGCTGCACCTGCAGGTGACAGAAAACTCAACACCTTCCTCATCTGTGAGCTGCTCCCAGAGTCAGGCAGCGAGATGTGTGTTACAGTTGGTACCTGCTCCTGCAGCTTCTTCAGCAGCGTCCTGTTGGCAGTAAGGATCTTCTCTGACGCCTGCAGCTGCTCTCTCAGTTTGGCCACCTTGGCTTCTGTCGCTTTCAGAGACTCCGCCTTCTTCAGCTCCTGCTGCAGCAGATGTCTGAGAACTATCTCGTCCCTCTGCAGCAGCTCCCTGCAGACAAGAACCACAAGTTCAGGTCTGAAGTCCGGTTCCTCTGAGTCACTGATACGTCAGAACATTTGGCCCATCGGGCCACTGTCATCTCTCTGATAGGTGGAGGACTCACCTGTGCTTACTGAGTCTCTGTTCTGCCTCGCTCACCCTGAGTTGTGCAGCCTGTTTCAGGGACGATTCCAGAACCAGTTCCGATGTGGCTGGTGAGCTGTGATCCCTCAGAGTCCTCTGATTCTCCCTGCTGCAGCACCAGGACACGTTTCAAGCACCTTCACATCACCAGCATGTGGAGTCTGTGAGCAGCCGGACAGGTTCTGGACCTACCTGGAGATTTCTTCTTTCAGCAGTCGGTACTCAGCCTTCTTGGACTCAGGGAGAGCTTCTGGAGTTCTGACCGGGTTGTTCTCCTTCTCACTAACTGGTGCCGCTTTTGGCTTTGCTGCCTATTAAACGTGAATCAATCAATCAATCAATGAACATTTATTTATAGAGCTCTCTCCAAAAGCCAAAAGGTGCACTAAGTGCTTCAAAATAGAAAAGTTGAAAACAAACAATACAAAAATGCCAGAGAACCACCAGAGATTAAAAGTCTGTCTGAATAAAAAGCTTTTAAGATAAGAGCCCAGATCAGTGATGGAGCACAAGGCCTGAGAAAGTTGTTCTACAGTCTGGGTGCAGCGACTGAAAAGACTTGGTCACCCAAACGTTTGTATTTGGACTTTGGGACAAACAGTAAAGAAATATTTGTTGATCTAAAAAAATCACAGGGTGAGGCTCACCTCCACCGTTCTCCGGGCCTCTTTGATCATAAACTCCAGACCTCCAAAGACCATCGGAGAGGAGCTGCAGGCGTCAACGTCCGAGTCGCTGTCGTCAGAGTCTCCGAGAGAAACCACCACTGCCTTGTGTCGAGGCAGCTGCAGAGAGAAGATACAGGAACATTTACAATTCAGCCCTGGCTCAGTGGTCCCCAGGCTGATCCTGGATCAGCGTGTTCCCCCAGGCTGATCATGGATTGGGGCGTTCCCTGACTGATCCTGGATCAAGGTGTTCAGCAGCACCTTACCACCAATGGACCTCTGGCAGCCTGGGGAGTTCTGTTGAACCTGCTGCTCCGGGTCTGAGGAACCGTGTTCAGGCTGACAGTGCTCAGGTTCCCTCTGGGCGGGGGCTGGATGTCTGTAGGAGGAGGACACGTCGGAGATGGAGGACCACTGGAGCTCTTCTGCACACAAGAAGACCAAATGCATCGTCAGTTCAATCAGTTCACCTGTTTGAGCAGTTCTAATGATAAAATTCAATCCGCACTTTTATTTTGAAGGAGCTGAACTGTTTCCTGTAATGCTGAGGACACACCTGAGTCAGGTGGGATGTTTGATATCTAAGTCACAGAACACACAAAGCTGCTTTCATTCTCCTCAGCAGGCAACTGGTACCAAAACCAGTTTAACCCGTTCAAACCATTTAAGGCTGCGGGTGCGAGTGGACTCACCTCTGTTGTCGCCACCCTCTTATTGGCCATTGACATCAGACACGTCTCCCTGAGCAGCATCTCCTCCTCCTCCTCTTCATCAGCAAATGGAGGCTTCGGGGGAGGCTCCAGCTCATCTTGTGGGGGAGGGAGAGGAGGTGGGGGAGGAACACCAGACAGCATGGGGTGGATGAAGGGCTGCGCAAAATCCCGAGGGAGAGGAGGTAACAGATTACAGTAATGGATTACTTTACTACAAGAGGGAGGGTGCATTTTTAAAGGAACAGAGTGAGGGGTTGGGGGTGCGTACCATCCCGTATGCTGCAGACTCTGCTCCATACAGGCCCAGCGGAGGGAAACATCCCATCTCATCCAATGACAGGAAGTTCTGCGTCGGTGACGGCACTGACAGAAACAGGAAATGTGAGCGGCGTCACACGAGAAACAGGAAGTACAAGGATGCTCAGGTGAATCCTGCCAACCTGGCGAGCCGGTCTCACTGTCCGTATCCATGGCAACCTCATCATAGTTGTCGTACTGGTAGAGGTTCCCTGAGGCATCCAGGCCCGGTTTGCCCGCAGACTTCCTGCGGTCCTGGTCTCTGGACTGAACAGACAGCTGATTACTGGTTGTTGTGGTGACAGAAGACTCACCTGAACAGGTGCTGGGAGCTCACCCTGCTGCGCGTCCTCCTCCCTCCCACCAGCTTCATGAAGCGGTTGTACTGCTCGTCCTGATTGGACAGGTCGCGGATGCGGCGGATCTCGTCCTCACGCTTGCGGCGCTCCTCCTCCTCCTGCCGCCGTTTCTCCTCCTGCTTCCTCTGCCGCTGCAGCTTCCAGGTGTGCAGCTGCTGCTTCCTGAACGCCTGCTTCGCTGTTGAGCCTGATGGTGGCAAGACACATCAGTCGGGCGAGTTCAACCACAGACACAGATTTTGTCTGAAAAACAGACTAACGAAGAGTAAAAACTACGCCTCCAGAAATGATTACACCTGTGCAGGTGGAGGTCTACCTGTGTGGAAGCACCTCATCAACACTTTGCTTATTGAACAATCAGCTTATTTTCATAAAGAATCAGACTTCACCCTACAGTGAAAAAAACTACAGGTAACTAAACTTTACTTCCTGACAGTTTACTTTCTGGTTCTGACAGCGTTATGAACAGTCTGAAATTCCAAAGCAAGCTCCGCCCCCTCCCGCCACCTGCAGGACATCATCTCACCTTGGCTGATCAGGTTTTTGGCGCTTTGAAGTTTTCCTGGAGTCCGGGCCCGGTCGGGCTGGACTCTGGGACCAGGCTTGGGACTCTGTTTGGTTCTGTCTCTGTCAGCTGGCCTGCTCCGGTCCCGGTCTGCAGGTTTGGACCTGCTCCTGCTCCGGTCTGCAGCAGCAGCGGCGGCGGCAGAGGAAGCGGACCTGGTGGTGACTCTCTGAGGCCTGTCAGCTGGAGCTGCTACAGAACCTGAAGCTGAGCTGGAGGTCTTGTCCTGGGGGGCTTTGATTAGCCGGTCTTTGCTCCTCTTCATCACCCGCTGCTCCTTCTGCTGCCACTTCTTACTGGCCGACTGCAACGCGAGGAGGCGGAGCTGCAGCTCAGACAGCTCCTCCTCCTCCATCTTTTCCACAGGCTGAAAAGACACACAGGTTAGCATCTCAAAGGTCACGTGACCTACAGCTTAACAAAAACAGCAGAGTACAGAAAAAATCAGTTTAACTCTATCTCCAGTTATAGTGTCTGATGAGCTGTTGTCAAATGAAACCAGCTCTGACTTTCAGCATCATGAAGCCGCTTCACTTCTGTTACCGTGGCAACTGATGCTGGAAACCTAACCAGCATCATTGTGTAAATGCAATGCCCCTCTACCAATGAACATCTGTAAATGAGAAAGATGGCGGCAGCATGTGAAGGTTTTGTGACCACGAGGGGGTGGAGTTTAATTTAAACGTTCAGTTTGTTATGTCTGAAAAGTTACAGCTTTTACAGGAGCAGGAAGAAGCAGCCAAACTCATTCAGGTTCAGGGTTCACGTTCATGAAGTCATCCTCAGAGCTCACCTTGTCAGGTGAGACGGTCGACTCCTCACTGGAGACGGACGATTCACTGACGTGGGAGCCAACGTTCTGCTTCTCTTCTCGACTGGTTTCCTTGTCGCAGGACATCGTCGGCTTCTCCTCGGCGGCGGCGTCTCCTTCTGGTAGGGCAGCTTCCGAGCTTCCCGGTTCTGAACCTGATGAGACAGAGCAAGAAGTTGAACACAAAACATATCTGCTGACTTGTGAATCAGATCCAGACGAATCTATGAGCAGCATCCAGACCCACCGTCAGCACCGCCTCCTGTGTCAGGCCCCGTCCACTTCCTGTGCAGCTCGTCCAGTTCAGCTGGGGTGGGAAGTTTCTGATGCAGGGGTTTGATGTTGAACGCCTGAAACACTTTCTTGGTTTCCTTCTCCAGCTGCTGCTCTGCTGCTAGATCCGGTTCTGGTGCCAGTCTGGTTTCTATCGAAGCAGCGGCAGCATCCACGGGGGACGCCGCCGGCTCTAGTGCCGGCTCCAGCGCCATGGTCTCAGCCTTGCGGATGCACTCCAGCTCCAGCTGGATCTGCTTGTATTTGAACAGCAGTTCCTCGAAGCTCTCATCCACGCTGGTCTCGGTTCTGGGGGGACCAGAAGATGGTTTTCTGGGCCAGATCCACTCAACCTGCTTCTCTGAGGCGTCCGATAAGAAACATTTAATATTTACTTATAATTATGGACTTAAAGTCACAAGAAAATAAAAAATATTGGACTCGTTTGGATCTTATCTGCCAATTTAGTTACAACTCTAAATAAAACACACCAGAAATACTCAAATAATAAAAAAAAGCATAGATTATACTATAAAAGAAAAACAATACAAACATTTCTATTAATTTTTATATACAATTTATTTAGTTATAAAAAAATCTAGGAGCGAAGAAAAGAATAAAATATTAACTTTTTAGAATCTGATCTGTTGAAAAATTATTTATAAATTAAATGACTGTCATACTGTGCACGCGCGCGTGCTCACCACCTTCAGGTTCCCATCAGATCGATTAGCAGAACCAGCTGGACCCGGCCCGCTTCACCTGGTTCTGATTGTTTACCTCACTAAACGGGTTTAAAACGGTCAACCAAGGTTCGGACAGATTCTGGATAAGGTTCAGGTCCAGTCGCTGGTAGAGGACCCTCTGATCGGTTCGGCACCAGCTTTCCCCTGAATCAGTGACAGTCTGTGGAGCCAGTTCGGGCTCGGTTCTTTAAAGAACCACAAAAGGATACGTTTTCTCGAGGCTTGGGAGTTGTGAATCTGAACGTCTTCGGGTCCGGGCCCGAACCAACCTGGGGGAGTAATGTTGTTCCCCCCCATGGCACCTCGGAACCAGGAGCCGCGTCGACGGTTCGGTGTCCGGTGTCTGAACCGTCCCAGGGCTCCGTGGCTCCGCTCCCAGAAGTTGGACCGTGGGTTCGGCTCACCGTGTAGACGGAGTCCGGGAGGCGGTGGGAGCAGCATCCCGTGCGGAGCCGGCGGAGGCCTGTCGGGCAGGTTTGGGGGGAACGGGCCGAGGAGATGAGGTCCGGGGTTAAAGGGCATCAGGAGGTGAAAGTCCGGAGGAGAGAGGCCCAGGAGAGGCCGCAGATTGTGCGGTTGATGGTGCGGTTTTCTGAACCGACCTCGGCCGCGGGGCCTCCTCATCCCATCCCCCCGCCGAAACGGAACGCTCTCTTCGATTTCATCATCGCAGATTTCTCCGTCTTCAAGCTCTCCGTCTTCTACCAGGGACCGATGGGTTGTGCTACGATCCATGTTGCGGTGACCGCAGGAACCGGTACCGGTTGCCTGCTGTCTGTGTAACGGCTCGGTTCTCCGCCCGTTCGTCCACTCTCGGTTCTCTGACAGCTACTCGTGCTAGCTAGGATGACTGCTAGCACCAAATATCGCGATACAAGCCGGTCACGCGAGATTTGTGTGACCGGTTACTGGAAGCATCCCATAAAAGGAAAGAGGAAGTTCTGGACTTTTTATTTTATTTTATTACAAACCTTTTATCAATTTTACAAACAAGTGTCTGCCAGGGGTATATTGGCAGGTACAAAAGTAATAGTATACAAGTATAGAAAAGAATGATTATGAAATAGTACAAAAGGTTAAAAAAAAAAGTCTAAAGCTACAAAACAAATTTATTTACAGGTTATATAAATTTACATTACGCTTTCTAGAACTGAGTTGGTTTTCATTGCCTTTTTGTTTTCAAGTTCTGTAATAGTGGTGCTGTATATGTAAAGTTTCTTGCTGAAGTGGGTTATGCTTGGCTTGGAGTTGGACCACTTTTTCTTGTGAATGTGGAATTTTCAGAGGATGGGTGAAGTAGATTAAGTCTTTGTCCATATCCTTACTCTCGAAGCATAATATGTCTTTCTCTGCAAGGTGAATTATTTGTCCAGTTTTCTGTTGTACATCTGTCCAGAATGTCTTTGTGTGATTACATTGATAGAATAAGAAATTGTTTCCATGTGTAGTTCATAAAATGTAGTCAATATCAAGTTTAAATCTTTCCAGTGTTTTTTAACAGCGTATACATTATGATTGGTTTTATATGAAACCTCTTTAACTTTATTTGTTATGCACTTGTTTCCAATTAATTTCTCCAAAAGTAGAGGACCAAAAAAAAATCTACTGGGAGGTAAAGTAATCTTCTGCAGACATGATATTATAAGATAGTTATAACATGTTTATTTTTTTGTGATATCTATTTCACCTAGCATTATGGGGCTTCTAAGTTGGTTTCTAGATGAACGATCCGGTTTTGTTCCTTCGACGAGCTGCATCATGGAGTTTGGTAGAGCATGAAAACTACAGTATACTCTTTAGGTGTTACAGGTGTGTTAAATCTGGTCAGAAATTCAGTGTAAGACAAAATGGTTCTGTTATCAATTAATAGCTGTTGGACCAGAATAATTCCATTATCCATCCAGTTTTTATAGTAAAGTGACTTGTTGTTGTTCAGAATATTCCCATTGTTCCAAATGTAGTACGTAGTTAGAGAGAAGTTGTGTTTGTAGACAAGTTTCCAAGCCAGGAGCGCTTGTTGGTGAAATTTTGATAACTTTTTATAGGTAACTTTTCAATTTTATAATTAAGTCAATCAAGTCCTGGACTGTGGTGACCATGGCGGTGACGTTTGGTGACAGCAGGGAGGGTAATATTTATTCATCCGTCCATATTTACCCGCTGCTTCCCTTTCGGATGGCGGGGGTCACTGGTGTTCATATTCAAGGATTCAAGGTTCTTTGTCATTCCACCACATGTGGTGCATGTGGTGGAACAAAATTATGTGCACAGAGGCCCAGTTACATCCAACAAAAGTATTAAAATAAAAACAGTAATAAGATCTAAGATATGAACTAAGAAAAAAAAAAACTAAATATACACTAAGCACTAACAGCATAAAAACAATACACCGAACAGCAGCACGAACATGAGTCTGTGTGAGCAGATGAGCATGCATGATCAGCAGCAGCATGATGTGATTTTTCAGATTATCCTGGTTAGATAGTCATGAGTCTAACAGCCTCAGGGTAGAAGCTCTTCCCCAGTCTAGTGGTTCTACAATTAATGCTCCTTAATCCTTCCTGAAGGGAGTGGGGCAAAAAGTGTGTGTGCTGGGTGAGTGGGGTCCTTCATGATGCAGGCGGCCCTCTTCCTGCATCTGGAGGTGTAGATGTCTGTGATGGTGGGGAGGCTGACTCCAACAGTCTTCTGTGCAGCCTTCACCACTCTCTGCAAAGCTTTTCTTTCTGCAGCTGTGCAGCCTCCATGCCACTTGTTGATGCTGGAGAGCAGGATGCTCTCCACTGCACACCTGTAGAAGGAGGTGAGGACTGAGCTTCTCAGACCAGCTTGTCTCAGCCATCCGAGGAAGTAGAGTCTCTGATGAGCTTTCTTGATCAGGCTGGTGGTGTTGTTCCTCCAGCTCAGGTTGTCATTCATGTGTATACCCAAATACTTGTAGCTGGAGACCACTTCCACCGCAGATCCTCCTATGTTCAGGTGTGTTTGTTCCTTCTGAAGTCCACGACCATCTCCTTCATCTTCTTGAGTTTCTTTGTCTTTCGCACCTCATGTGGTACATGTGGTGGAGTGAAATTATGTACACAGGGTCCCAGTTACATTCAACAATAAAAAGTAAAAGAAAAACAGCAATAACATCTAAGATATGAACTAAGAAAAACATCAACTAAATATACACCAAGCACTCATAACATAAAACATTACATCGAACATCAGCACAAACATGAACATCAGTCCGTGTGAGCAGATGAGCATGCATGAACACACCAACATTGAAACAGATCAGCAGCAACATGTGATTTTTTTTTACAGTGGTTATTCTGGTTAGAGATCCATGAGTCTAACAACCTCAGGGTAGAAGCTGTTCCTCAGTCTAGTGGTTCTACACGTAATGCTCCTCAACCTCCTTCCTGAGGGGAGTGGGACAAAAAGTGTGTGTGCCGGGTGAGTGGGGTCCTTCTTCACATTGATGTGAAGGTTGTCCAGCTATCGCTGTGTGAGAGGCGGGGGACACCATGGACACACATTCGCTCTGTGAATCAGAAGCTTTTGACCGTGTGAACTGGCCATCCCTCATTATTTTGTCAGCTTGATTTTATTTATTTGCTTGCTTGGCTTATCACACCTGACCTAAATAAAGATGATGACCAGCAGGGGACAGCAAAGACTTCTGAAATTCAGCTGCTGGACTTGGTCTCAGTTTTTGTCTGGTCTTGTAGGGTCCCATCCAACAGGTCAGGCCGGTCCAGGTCACAGTGAAAAGTATATCATGTGCAGTGATGGAGAAAGTACTCAAACACTGTATTCAAGTAAAAGTACAAATAAACAAACAAAAATGTACTCTAGTAAAAGTAGAGGTACCACATTAACGTGTGATGGACAGAGCAGTAAAAGGACAGTCATGCACAGGTTAAGTCCAAAAATACATATTTTTTAATTAACCCCAAAAAAACAACTTTGGTAAATCATAACAGATAACAAAATTGGGCCCATAAAAGAGGTCAATGTAACTGAACTCTACTCAAACAAACAGACCTGGTAAATGAGACAAAGGGGAAACTTATACTTAATGATGTATTTACTAGAATATACGTCATTGGCCCAGCTCTTCTTGAAGGCGGGTCTAACATTAACTGTCCACTTTGCAGTGATTCAATGGAGCAACTCCCCTCTCGCCATCGGTTACTTTCAAACTAACGAACAAATCAAAAAACCACAACATGAATGTAACGTGTAACTCAACGCATTAGAGAAATGTAGTGTAGCAGAAAGTACAGATACTTAAAGTAAAATGTAGTTGAGTAAAAGTCGAAAGTACTCACATTTAACTCTACTTAAGTAAAATACAGATACATGAAAAATGCACTTAAGTACATCCCACCACTGATCAGGCGTGATGTTGGAGCAGTTCTTCACATGCTCAGGAAGCCTCCTTTTCCTCTACAATCAGTGAGGAAACCTTGGACAGGTGCCCGGACCCTGACCCCTGACCTTTGTGAGGACAGATGGACGTCTGAGTCGTCTGGATGAAAAGGTGAAAACAGAACCGACACGCTAACTGCAGGTTAAAAACACGAGTGTTAACAACCACACACAGACGTCACAGAGAGACGGACACAGAAAACAAAACATTGAAACACGGGTCAGAGGGTTTCTGGTTCTGGACTTCACATTTTCATTTATTAATTTCAGTTTCTTTGATATATAGCATAAAAAATATGTGAAATTATCCCATCATTGAAGTTAATCTGTGGTGAAAAAGCTTATGAACTGCTGGAAAAGAGAAGAAAGAGTTAAAAAAAATAAATGAAAGGAAAAAAGTTCTTTCACTGCTACTGGAGTTCTGATGAGTTAGAAGAAGAAATCATGTTTCTCCAGTTTCAGCTTCTCTCCATTGGCTCCATCAGAATTTAAAATCTCACTTCTAATATAGAAAACTCTCAACAACCTAGCTCCATCTTATATTACAGATCTTATTGTTCCATACTCTCAACAGCGCACTTATGGTTCCTAGAGTTTCCAAAAGCAGAATGGGAGGTAGATCTTTCAGTTATCAGGCTCCTCTCTTGTGGAACCAACTTCCAGTTTGAGTCCGTGAAGCTGACACATTGTCTACTTTTAAGATTAGGTTTAGGTTTTTCCTTTTGGATGAATCTTATAGTTAGGGTCAGCTTGGGTTTCCTTAGGCATCCCTTAAGGCTCCCACATAGGCTCGCACAGACTTGGGCGGACCTCAGGTCGCGCAGAAACTGCGCGTATTGCCTGCAGAGGGTTGAGACTTCATACTCGAGCGTCCACCCTGAGTGGCTGCAGCCAGCTCTGCAGGCAAGGGGCGTTTACCTTCAGGACAAATTGAGGTCGCTGATTGGTCATTTGCTGACACGCCTACTGGATTGATTGACAGGTCGCCAAAAAAAAAAAAACGAGAGCTGGCAGCTCCAGCCGCAGTGGTGTTCTGTTTTTATATGTTGTTAATAAAAAGTTATAACACCCCCCCCCCCCCAAAAAAAAAAAAAAAACAGGGAGCGCTGGCCCTGCAGCCCACACATCAGACCAGCCCACCAGGAAATCTCCAGACCCTCCCACAGTCACGCTGGACCTGATTTTAATTCTCTCGTGACAAATTCCTTAAATTCTCACAAGTTCAGTCATGGTGTCAATGGATGAGGAGGAAGAGATCGACTGCCTCTTAGCAAAAAAAAAAAAGAAAGAAGAAAAGGGCCATTAAACCAGACCAGGGATGAAGAAGAGGAATTTAATACATTGGTGTCGCAAACAAAACAGTCCGTCGCCGGGCAATTTATTGTGCGACACCGAGTGCGCCTACGCGGTCGTAAAAATGGATCTT